GGGGGCTCTCTGTGGCATTGGTTGAGAAGCAGCTTGCGGTGTAGATATAATTGCTTCATTAACCTCTTCATGCTGACTCTTGTATTGAGGTAATCAGCTAAAAAGCATCAGCTAAAAAGTCCCCCCCCAGGTGTACTTCAGGGTGAAGTTAAATCGGTTAAAGTAGTGGGCCATGGCCCACAGGTTGGGGATCCTTGAGCAAGAGAACTGGGAGGCCCCAGAGCTAAATTTCATGTGTTGTTGCAAAGGGTCTGAATACTTATGCCAATGTGATATTTCAGTTTTTTCTTTTTAATAAATTTACAGACATTTCTAAAATTCTGTTTTCATTTTGTCATTGTACTGAATGCAAATTAATGACAAGAAAATTAATTTCAACAACTGTAGAATAAGGCTGCAGCGTAATAAAATTGACAACGAAGGGAGTCTGAATACTTTTTGAATGCACTATATATTTCTTCATTACCCTTTCCTCATTATTTTATTTATCCTCTTATTTAAAAGTTTAATATTTGAAATATATACACACTTGGAGTTTTATTTTTCCCTAATCTGTAACTGTTGCACCTGTCAGAGTCAATTCTGGAAAAGAATTAATGGCTTAGTGACTTTTTTCTTTGAAAAGTGTTTATCATAAAGATGAGGTAGAAGTTTTCTAACATGGCTAGCTCAAGAGATGGGTCTTTAAGTACCACTTGAAAAAGATGCTGTGTTGTTTTGTGGGAGGGATATGTGACATCAAGATCTGAATAAATAATAAGCATTTTTATTAGCCAAGTGTTTAGCCAAACTGTTACAGAAGCTTGAAAGAAGAAATTCTGATTCATTCTTCCCTGGATGAGTACAGGTCATCTTGAACAGAGTTGCTGAATCGCAGAAGAAAGGAGCAGTTCTGTACTAATGCTTCATCATTCTTATTAGCATAGAGTAGGCTCATACCTGTGTTTGATCATGGTCATTTCTCATCTTTCCCTCTCGCTGCTCTAGGAATCATTTCTGCCATTTCATTTCTCAGAATTTTATGATAAACGATTGACTCCAGAAACTAAGAGAAGCTTTCAAGGAAACATTTAGTCCAGCACTATTATAGCGTCCTTATTCTACAGATAAACAAGGCATGTGTCAGCTCTTCCATCTTCTGCTTGGCACACCTATCTAGCAGCCTGCCATAGATTGTTAGGGGGGAGGGGGAGGAGAGCAAATGGGTAATAAATATGTATGAGGTAAATATGGGAAATAGGGAGGGGGGGATGACAGTTTGATGGAGGCCAGAAGTGCAGGAAATCAGCCTTTGCCAATCTTCAAGGACATGCAGCTTGAAAAAAGAATGTGAGTTGCTTGAAACATCCCAGCTGTTCTCAAAACACCTATGCAGCTCGTCATTGGCCATAGATGAACTGTCAAGGGGGGAGGGTTGGGAAAAGGGGGAAAAGTTTGTAACCTTTTGCACAGGAACATTAGTTCTAGCCTGACTTTGCTGCAACCAGTATCCTTTAGTAAAAGAACCTATCACTTCAACCAAATGGAGTCGAGGGTCTTTCTTTTATAGGGACCTAACTGGGGCAGGTCTGACATTATGTGGTAGAACAGCCTATGGTGTAAATAAAAAAAATTATCAGAAACTTAAAAAATATAAATGCAAAAATATAACAATGGAAATACATGGTTGTATTTTGGTTTGCATTATGGTTCAAGAGATACAAATTAGATATACAAATTATGTACATTAATGTTATTTGTAATATGAGTATATTTTTTTCACAAAGAGGGTTAGGGATGCTATGCTAAATATTTTTAGATCAAAATACTATCATTAGTCTAGAAGCAGCATTCAATGTTAAGAGACTCAGCTACAATCCCAAAAATAAGCCTTAAAGTATTATTGGAAATATTGGTATCTTATCTGTTTGAAGTTGGGACTCAGAGATTTTTTTGAGAGAGAGCTGAGAAAGAATATTTAAGGCTCAAAACTTGCTAGTCAAATTGTAAATCAATTTCCATCAAATCAATAAAATTATAATTAAATTCTTCATATATCTGTCAAGCATTATGAGGTAATTGTTTCCTTGTCTCCCACATCTTTATTTTTCATCTATATTCTAAAATTTATTTTTGTTTTCTTAAACCAATGTTTTCTTTAAAATTCAATCAGCACTTTATTACATTACATCTCTATTACATTTGCATCCATTATTTATTTTTGCAGCATAGCCATGTGTCCTCAGTCTTATTGTGCCAAGCTGAAGTAAGTTCTTTTAACTTCAGAGTAAGTCTGGCTTAAAGCGCTTGGTTCCCACCATACAAAGTCTGCTCCAATTGCCTTCTAAAAGTTTTATTGTAAATGGAGTGTACCAGCTCTCCTGACTCCTAGGCTTAATCTCTATCTCAGGTTTTAAATACTGATCCATTATCATAAAACCACTCTTTATTCTGCAGTTGTTTTCATATCTCAGAGTTACATGTAGGATTTTTTTTAAAAATTTTATTATTTTATTTTCATTACAATCATAAGAAAAAAATTCAGATACATAAAAAGTTAAAATACAACACACAAATTCTGACATTGCTCACCCATTTCCCCCCAGACTGCGTCCCCCTCTCATCTCTTCACTTCCCCCTTCCTTCTACCTCCTCCTCTCCTCCCCTCCCTCTCTACTCCATCTTTCTACTTAATTATCCCTCTCCTCTTCTTCTCAATTGGATGCGGTCAGGGGAAAATGCCCGAGCAATCCTCTATCACCAAAATCTGAACTATTGAACATACTACCCATACTCTCCCCTCCCCCCTCCCCCTTTCCCCCCCCCCCGACTTCCCAGAGCTCAGTACAGGGTTACAAAAAAAAGAAAAGAAAAAAAAACTAAACATAGTCAACTTAAATTTACTACTTATACAATAACCGGAATCATAATAACCCTTAACTCTCTGCAAACTTCAATTCATAATTAATAAAAATCCATTATTCATAAAGTAAATGAAACTTTGTTGTTCCATACTTCTTCTGAATATATTCTATCTATCTTCTCCATACAGAAACATATCTCTTTTGTGAATGGTCCTTTAAGCAGAAATTTTAGCCATTTCTGCTAAGTTAGAAACCTTGAATACCCATTCTTCTAAAGAAGGCAGAGAATCTTTTTTCCAATACTGACCCACCAATAGTCTTGCTGCTGTTATTAAATTCAGCATTAAAATAGTTTCTTTAACATCAAAATCCACAAAAATACCCAAAAGAAATAATTGGGGAGTAAATTTAATTTTCCTTTTAAAAACCTTTTGAATGTTCCACCAAATCATAATCCAAAAAGCTTTAATATTTTTGCAAGTCCACCAAACATGAAAATAAGTTGCATCCAAGGAACCACATCTCCAACATTTGGGTTGCAAATTCGGATACATACAAGATAACTTTTTAGGATCCAAATGCCACCTATAAAACATTTTATAAAAATTTTCCCTCAAATTTTGTGCTTGAGTAAATTTAACATTTCTGACCCAAATTATCTCCCAAGAATCCATTAAGATCGGTTCCTGTATATTCTGAGCCCATTTGATCATACAATCTTTTACTAACTCTGTTTCTGAATCCAATTTTATCAACTCATTATAAATTCTTTTGATAGGAGCAAATTTCTGATCTTTAATCTGAATTACCAAGTTTTCATCTGTTAAAGTAATTCCCACCTTCTTATCTACCCTCCATCTCTCCATTATTTGTAAATATTGAAACCATGATTGTAAAATATTTTCTTGCCTTAACAAATCAAAAGACTTTAATTGCCAATCTGTACCTGACCAAATGAGCAACTAAATCTTAAACTTAACCCTTGGTTTCTTGCCACCCCATATAAATTTATTGATACCCTTCTGCCACTCTTCCAAATTTGCATCGAAATGGGTAACATTTGAAATAAAAAAAGAAACTTTGGTAGAACATTCATCTTTACTACTGAAATTCTCCCCAACAATGATAATTGTAGTTTTTGCCAGTCATTTAAGTCTTTTTGTACCTTTATCCACAATTGTTCATAATTATTCTTATACAATTTCCCATTAGATGTTGTGATATATACTCCTAAATACTTAACCTTATTAACTACATTATAACCTGTTGCTTCAATTATAGTATCTTTTCCCTTCATAGACACATTTTTAAGTAAAATTTTAGTTTTATTCTTATTCACCTTAAAACCAGAGACCTGTCCATACTGCGCTAAAATTTCAACCAATTCGTTAACCGAATCTGTTGGATAAGATAATGTCACCACCAAATCATCAGCAAAAGCTTTCAACCTATAATCAATCTTATTTATTTTTATTCCTTTTAATCTAGAGGATTCTCGAATTTTAATAAGTAAGATTTCCATAGTTAATACAAATAACAAAGGGGATAGAGGACAACCCTGCCTAGTACCTTTTTCTATTTTAAATTGCTCTGTTAATCCCCCATTAATTATAATTTGTGCTGATTGTTGCTGATATACAGCTTTAAGAGCACACAAAAATGTATCTCCAAAATTCATTTCCTCTACCACTTTCAATAAAAATTTCCAATCTAATTGATCAAACGCTTTCTTCGCATCTATAAATATTAAGGTAGCAGGAATTTGATTATTCTTATCCAAATATTCTATTATATTAACCAATTGTCTTACATTATTTTTCATATATCTTCCCATTATAAATCCCGATTGATCAGTATGAATAAATTGTTTCAAAACCTGCATTAATCTATTTGCCAATATCTTTGCAAAAATCTTATAGTCCGTATTTAACAAAGATATAGGCCTATAATTTCTAGGCTGGGACAAGTCCTGATCATCCTTTGGAATCAATGATATGAAGGCCCTTTTCCAAGATGGAGGTAACTCTGCTCCCAGCAAAATGTCATTAAAAAGTTCCTTCAATGGTTCTATCATTTCTTCCAATAGCATCTTGTAATAAATTGCAGTTAATCCATCAGTACCTGGCGTCTTACCAACCTTTAATTGTTTAATTGCAGAGGTAATCTCTTCAACAATAATTGAAGCATTAATTCCATCACGCTGATCAGTCGTAAGTCTGGGAAAATTGGCTTGTTGTAAGTAATTTTCTACATCTGAAATTTGTATAACTTCACTAGTATATAACTTAGAATAAAAATCTAAAAAAGCCTTTTTAATCAAATTTTGTTGATACACCTCTTTACTTTATAACATATTTTGTTTATAATCCTTGATTTCTGCTTCTTACGTAATTGATAAGCCAACCATCTACCAGGTTTATTTGCATTACAAAATGTATTATACTTCATGTACCTCAAATTAATCACCATCTGATCCGCTATTAACATATTAAATTGTTCCTTAAGCAGAGTTATAGAAGCTTTCAAATTATTATCCATTGGATTTGATAATAAAATCTTTTCCTTACATTTAATCTCATCTTCCAACTCTTTACGCTTCTCAGTTTGTTTACGTCTATGAGCATTATTCATAGAGATCAAAATCCCTCGCATATATGCTTTACTGGAATCCCAAACCATTGGCATTGAGGTGCCCTTATTCATATTTCAAGAGAAAAATTCTTTTAAATAACCTCTACATTTCTGTATATTCTCTTCATATCTAAATAAATTCTCATTTAACCTCCAAGACCTTCTAGACCCTTTATCCAAAGAAATTTCCAACCATACAGGACTATGATCTGAAAAAAATTCTAGAAAATATCTTAGTATTCTTCACTCTGAAAGAAAAGTCATTAGTAACTAGAAAAAAATCAATTCTAGAATAAGATTGATACCTGTCTGAAAAAAAGGTGAAATCTTTTTCCTGAGGGTTACGTTCTCTCCAAATATCTCTGAGTTCCAAATCATCCTTTAAATCAAAAAAAGTTTTCGGAAGTCTAGCCTGGTTACACACTTTAAAAGAACCCTTCTTATCTTTGCTTGGATCCAAAACACCATTCCAATCTCCCATCATAATAACTGATTTATAATCCAAAGAAATTAGTTTCTGATAAATCATCTTGTAAAAATGTTTTTGTTGCTGCTTGGGAGCATATAATCCAACAAGAAGAGTTCTGTTATCATTTATTAAAAGATCAATAATAACATACCTGCCTTGTAAGTCCAAGTCAATTAATTTTGGTGAAAGCTCTTTTCTTACATATATAACTACACCTCCTTTTTTCTGCAATGCAGGAGCTATAAAATGTACCCCAAGCCAAGGGTTGAACAAGTATTTTTGATCTTTGGAAATAATATGAGTCTCTTGCAAACAAATAATATCATTTTTATGTTGTTTCAAATAGTAAAATACTTTCTTTCTTTTCTGTGGAGTGTTAAGCCCATTAACATTCCAGGTTAGAAGCTTTGCCATTCTTGGCAGGCAAGCCTTTGGAACAAAACCTCTAGACTTGCAGTCGATGACTTCTTTGGCCTTGCTCCTCCCACTGGCTCCGAAGTAAAGTGTAATCCATCATCAGCCTTTTGTTGCTGTTGCTGTTCTCTTTCTCTACGTTTATAGGCAGCACGTGTAATTCTCTGTTGTTTTGGGTCATCAATTAATTGAATAGATTCAACCAATAACTCTTCTCCTGGGAGTGGCTTTAAGCCTACATTAAATTGTGTTTCTGCCTTGCTCTCATCTTTTTTTGATCTTGGAGATGGTGGTGCCTCTGCTCTTAACACAGTCATATAAAAATCTTTTGCTTTAGAAATTGTATTAAGACAATAATGTAAGCCAAGATAAGTCACCACTATCCCCACAAGTATATCCCATCTGAATTAAATTTGTTGTTTCTTAAGTTCATCCGCCAAAAAAGCAAAATCTCTCCTCCTAAGGATTTTTGAAGGTATTTCTTTTAAGATTATCACATCTTGAGTTGCTATCTGAAATCTGTGCTTATAAAAAGCCTGAATAATTTCATTCCGCAATGATCTTCTAGCAAAATAAACCACCACATCTCTTGGTAGCTTCCTCTGTTTTGCGACCCATGAGTTAACTCTAAAAATCTTTTCTATATCTCTCAACATTGCTTCAGGGTCGCATTCCAAAACAGAAGCCAATTCAATTGCAATTTCTTCCTTCAAATTCTCCTGAACATTCTTCTTCAAGCCTCTTATTCTCAAAGCGAACTCCATTTCTCTATATTGTGACATTAAAATCTCATCCTGTACATTGTCTGCATTATCTTCTATCTTATCAACTCTATCTTGTAGTATTTCAACCTTCCCCACCACTTCACCCACCCTGTCATCAATTTTTTCTACAAGTCCAGCAAGCCCCTTCAATGCAGAAATAATATCTACTCTCATCTGGTCATTTTTTTTCTCAATAAGTTCTGCTGTCTTTTGTATAGTTTTCTCATAAATATTCTCCAAAACATCTTGCAAATCTTTAAGTGTTATTGTCTGTGGTGGTGGTGAGGGTGGAGAAAGTTTAGGTCTGGATTGCTGTTGTACAGTCTGAGTTACTGAAGAAGGAGTTGCAACTTTAGGAAGAGAAGCAGGTCCAGGACGTTTTGAGGCCATTTTAACAAAGAAAAAAATTTTTTTTTAAAGAATTAAAAACTAGTAAAAATAAAAAGAGCAAGAACAGCAAAAAAAAAGTTTACTCCTTAAAAAAAAGAATTCTCTTAAACAAATCAAGTCCATTACGTTGTTAAAGCTCGATCAATAAAAAGTAGAAAGTGAAGGTATTCAAACAAAAAGAGTAACAAAGAAACAATATTCCTCCGCCATATTTCTTGCTCCAGCAATTTGTTAAAATAGTAACAGGAGAAGATGTTAGTTCTCCCTGAGTTAAGTTAGAAGTAAAATTCAGTCATTGTCCTCCTGAGAGCTCTGTCTGCTTTAAAAGTCACTTACAGTTTGCATTAGGAAAGCAGCAATGGAGGCAGCGTCTGACTTCGTTATCTTCGGAGAACAAAGACATCCCAGGAAAGGGGCAACACCCGGACTTCGGAGGAGCTCTCACACTTCACCTCCCGAGAAAAATCCCTGGGAGATTGGTGAGGCTCAACTCCTATCCAGGAGAGAGCTCACCTTCTTCCCTTCACCCGTGAAGAAGATTTCAAGCCATAAAACAGCTGATCGTCGCTGTTTAACCGGCTTTTACGATCTCCCAGGAGAGGCAGCTGTAAAACAGCTGCCATCAACACCAATGCAGCCACCGGAAGTCCCATGTAGGGTTTTTTTAATAATTCATTAAAATATGACTCCCAAAAAATATGCTTGTGAATTCATGTAATATGTTCAGTATGTTCATTAAGTATAACAACAATGTCATATTGTGGCTGAATAAGCCCAACCAAGCAAAACACTAGAGACATGATGAACTCCAAAGTTAACTTTATTAGGCATAAAACAATCCGGCAAGTTTGAAAGAAAGCTAACTCTGAAGAAATGGTGGGAAACAGATAATTAAAATAGTAAAACTCTCCCCTCTCTCCCTGACAGTTCAGGTCACATTGTCCAATACATCTTCTAGTAATTGTTATAAGAAGAAACTTCAGTTTGCCAAAACAACTCCTCAGCTCTCACAGTGATGAGAAGCACCTGTGATTTTCTATTCTTTTCTTCTTTTTCCCAGTGATTTTTACTTCCCTCAAAGTCCTAATATCTGCCTCCTTATATTCTGTCTGTTATCTCAGAAGTATCAGTGTCTTTAACAACCTCTTTTGTAATTCCAATATAAAATTTTTCCATGTTACTGTTCACATTTTCATTGACCCTTCTTACAAAATCTTCAATAATTTTAAGAAGTCGTTTTCGTATATTCACTGTAGAGAAATTATCCACATTATCCACCGTGAATATTTTTGTGTCTTTTAAAATTATTATTTAATGGCCAGTTTTGTGTTTAAAACCATTATTTCAATCTCTTTTTTATAGAGTATCATTTTAAAATACACATTCCAGTTTTATGTAATGAAACTTGTTCCTCTTCTGGAACATCTAAGTTTTCTCTAATAGTAGATAACTATAATTAATTCCCAAGTCCATTCACACTAGATGTCACTTGAAGAGGCCACATATGCATTTATTTCCTTCTGGTGCTCTCTAGTGTCTAACATCAAAGTTGTCTTACCAAATACAAACAGGCAATTCCCCATGAGAAGGATTATTTTAATTAAAGTCAAAATCTAAACCATTATATACAAATGCTCAAAGTTCGGGAACACACAGGATGAACTAGAAGCAATAGTACATAAAGGCAGATATGACAGTTGGCATTACAGAAACCTGGTGGGACAAAACCCATGACTGGAATGTACTGATGGATGGATACAAATTGCTCAAAAGAAATAGATCTACAAAAAGAGGAGGAGGAGTTGCACTATATGTAAGAGAACATTACACATCTACAAAAATTCACGTGATCAAAGATAAAATCCCTCCAGAATGTATATGGGTCAATATAAAAGGAAAAAAAGTAACTGTAAGGACCTACCCCACTTTGCATCTTAAGAAGACAGAATTCTTGGAATCTTTCTTCCAACAGGCATCTTTATTAAGAGAAACTGGTTGCAGGCATTCTAGACAGGACTTGGGGTCCAAGTTCTCCCATTCAAGGTTTTAAGGGGTTCCCCAGTAGCCCCCCATCACCCCTTTCTTCCAGCAACAGTCCCAGGCATTACATTCCCACCCCCTTTCTCACATTGCCGACAGGAGGTAGACTTCAGAGAGGAGTACATGAAAGCTAATAGCACCATTGTTTTGGTAAGTCCTTTTGGTGGTATCCACATCCAGTCTCTTTGAAGTGTACTGAAGGAAGTGAGGGCCATAAAGTCCCTTTGTTCACCCCCTTCCCTTCATCGTATGACAGAATCCAGGGAAGGCAGGAATGGGGTTATCCATAGTTAATAACTAGAGATGAAATATAATTGGATTCTGACATCCTGCCCCCTTAAAAATAAGATAGATCCACCTGAAAGAAAACAAAACAGGTATAAAAGTTAGTCAGGTTTGTTAGGATACTCTGTGTGAAACTTCTTTAATAGCTTTGGGGCTCTGACATGACGTTTATGGACCCATTCGTTTTGTGAGGCAGGGAGATGTTTCCATGCAACTAGGTACTGAGTCGCTCCATGATATCT